CACTGTAAAACTACAGCAACATTGTAAAACTACAGCACCGCAGAAAAACTACAGCAACACTGTAAAACTACAGCAGCACTGTAAAACTACAGCAACACTGTAAAACTACAGCAACACTGTAAAACTACAGCAGCACTGTAAAACTACAGCAACACACTGTAAAACTACAGCAGCACTGTAAAACTACAGCAGCACTGTAAAACTACAGCAACACTGTAAAACTACAGCAACACTGTAAAACTACAGCACCGCACTGTAAAACTACAGCAGCACTGTAAAACTACAGCAGCACTGTAAAACTACAGCCACACTGTAAAACTACAGCAGCACTGTAAAACTACAGCAGCACTGTAAAACTACAGCAGCACTGTAAAACTACAGCAACACTGTAAAACTACAGCACCGCAGAAAAACTACAGCAACACTGTAAAACTACAGCAACACTGTAAAACTACAGCAACACTGTAAAACTACAGCAACACTGTAAAACTACAGCAGCACTGTAAAACTACAGCAACACTGTAAAACTACAGCACCGCAGAAAAACTACAGCAACACTGTAAAACTACAGCAACACTGTAAAACTACAGCAACATTGTAAAACTACAGCACCGCAGAAAAACTACAGCACCACACTGTAAAACTACAGCAGCACTTTAAAACTACAGCAACACTGTAAAACTACAGCAACATTGTAAAACTACAGCAGCACTGTAAAACTACAGCAACATTGTAAAACTACAGCAACACTGTAAAACTACAGCAACATTGTAAAACTACAGCAACACTGTAAAACTACAGCAGCACTGTAAAACTACAGCAACACACTGTAAAACTACAGCAGCACTGTAAAACTACAGCAACACTGTAAAACTACAGCAACATTGTAAAACTACAGCAACACTGTAAAACTACAGCAACACTGTAAAACTACAGCAGCACTGTAAAACTACAGCAACACTGTAAAACTACAGCACCGCAGAAAAACTACAGCAACACTGTAAAACTACAGCAACATTGCAAAACTACAGCACCGCAGAAAAACTACAGCAACACTGTAAAACTACAGCAGCACTGTAAAACTACAGCAACATTGTAAAACTACAGCAACACTGTAAAACTACAGCAGCACTGTAAAACTACAGCAACACACTGTAAAACTACAGCAGCACTGTAAAACTACAGCAACACTGTAAAACTACAGCAACATTGTAAAACTACAGCAACACTGTAAAACTACAGCAGCACTGTAAAACTACAGCAACACACTGTAAAACTACAGCGACACTGTAAAACTACAGCGACACTGTAAAACTACAGCAACATTGCAAAACTACAGCACCGCAGAAAAACTACAGCAACACTGTAAAACTACAGCAGCACTGTAAAACTACAGCAACACTGTAAAACTACAGCAACACTGTAAAACTACAGCAGCACTGTAAAACTACAGCAACACACTGTAAAACTACAGCAGCACTGTAAAACTACAGCAACACTGTAAAACTACAGCAACACTGTAAAACTACAGCAACACTGTAAAACTACAGCAGCACTGTAAAACTACAGCAACACACTGTAAAACTACAGCACACTGTAAAACTACAGCGACACTGTAAAACTACAGCACCGCACTGTAAAACTATAGCAACACTGTAAAACTACAGCAACACTGTAAAACTACAGCAACACTGTAAAACTACAGCAACACACTGTAAAACTACAGGAACACTGCAAAACTACAGCAACACACTGTAAAACTACAGCGACACTGTAAAACTACAGCAACATTGTAAAACTACAGCAACATTGTAAAACTACAGCAACACTCTAAAACTACAGCACCGCACTGTAAAACTACAGCACCGCACTGTAAAACTACAGCAACGCACTGTAAAACTACAGCAACGCACTGTAAAACTACAGCACCGCACTGTAAAACTACAGCAACATTGTAAAACTACAGCAACACTGTAAAACTACAGCAACACTGTAAAACTACAGCACCGCACTGTAAAACTACAGCAACACACTGTAAAACTACAGCAACACTGTAAAACTACAGCAACACTGTAAAACTACAGCACCGCACTGTAAAACTACAGCCACACTGTAAAACTACAGCAACACTGTAAAACTACAGCAACACTGTAAAACTACAGCAGCACTGTAAAACTACAGCAACACTGTAAAACTACTGCAGCACTGTAAAACTACAGCAGCACTGTAAAACTACAGCACCGCAGAAAAACTACAGCAACACTGTAAAACTACAGCAACACTGTAAAACTACAGCAACATTGTAAAACTACAGCAACACTGTAAAACTACAGCAACATTGTAAAACTACAGCAACACTGTAAAACTACAGCAACACTGTAAAACTACAGCAGCACTGTAAAACTACAGCACCGCAGAAAAACTACAGCAACACTGTAAAACTACAGCAACACTGTAAAACTACAGCAACATTGTAAAACTACAGCACCACAGAAAAACTACAGCAACACTGTAAAACTACAGCAGCACTGTAAAACTACAGCAGCACTGTAAAACTACAGCAACATTGTAAAACTACAGCAGCACTGTAAAACTACAGCAACATTGTAAAACTACAGCAACACTGTAAAACTACAGCAACATTGTAAAACTACAGCAACACTGTAAAACTACAGCAACATTGTAAAACTACAGCAACACTGTAAAACTACAGCAACGCACTGTAAAACTACAGCACCGCACTGTAAAACTACAGCAACGCACTGTAAAACTACAGCACCGCACTGTAAAACTACAGCAACGCACTGTAAAACTACAGCAACACTGTAAAACTACAGCACCGCACTGTAAAACTACAGCCACACTGTAAAACTACAGCCACACCGTAAAACTACAGCAGCACTGTAAAACTACAGCAGCACTGTAAAACTACAGCAACACTGTAAAACTACAGCAACACTGTAAAACTACAGCAACATTGTAGAACTACAGCACCGCAGAAAAACTACAGCACCACACTGTAAAACTACAGCAGCACTGTAAAACTACAGCAACACTGTAAAACTACAGCAGCACTGTAAAACTACAGCAACACTGTAAAACTACAGCAACACTGTAAAACTACAGCAACATTGTAAAACTACAGCACCGCAGAAAAACTACAGCACCACACTGTAAAACTACAGCAGCACTGTAAAACTACAGCAACACTGTAAACTACAGCAACACTGTAAAACTACAGCAACACTGTAAAACTACAGCAACATTGTAAAACTACAGCAACACTGTAAAACTACAGCAGCACTGTAAAACTACAGCGACACTGTAAAACTACAGCAGCACTGTAAAACTACAGCACACTGTAAAACTACAGCAACATTGTAAAACTACAGCAACACTGTAAAACTACAGCACCGCACTGTAAAACTATAGCAACACTGTAAAACTACAGCAACACTGTAAAACTAAATTAAACACTGTAAAACTACAGCAACACTGCAAAACTACAGCAACACACTGTAAAACTACAGCGACACTGTAAAACTACAGCGACATTGTAAAACTACAGCAACATTGTAAAACTACAGCAGCACTGTAAAACTACAGCAACGCACTGTAAAACTACAGCAACACTAAAACTACAGCACTGCTGTAAAACTACAGCACCGCACTGTAAAACTACAGCACCGCACTGTAAAACTACAGCACTGTAAAACTACAGCAACGCACTGTAAAACTACAGCACCGCACTGTAAAACTACATCAATCACTGTAAAACTACAGCAAAGCACTGTAAAACTACAGCAACATTGTAAAACTACAGCAACGCACTGTAAAACTACAGCAACACTGTAAAACTACAGCACCTCACTGTAAAACTACAGCACACTGTAAAACTACAGCACACCGTAAAACTACAGCAGCACTGTAAAACTACAGCAGCACTGTAAAACTACAGCAACACTGTAAAACTACAGCAACACTGTAAAACTACAGCAACATTGTAGAACTACAGCACCGCAGAAAAACTACAGCACCACACTGTAAAACTACAGCAGCACTGTAAAACTACAGCAACACTGTAACACTACAGCAACACTGTAAAACTACAGCAACACTGTAAACACTACAGCAACATTGTAAAACTACAGCAACACTGTAAAACTACAGCAGCACTGTAAAACTACAGCGACACTGTAAAACTACAGCGACACTGTAAAACTACAGCAACATTGTAAAACTACAGCAACACTGTAAAACTACAGCACCGCACTGTAAAACTATAGCAACACTGTAAAAATACAGCAACACTGTAAAACTACATTAACACACTGTAAAACTACAGCAACACTGTAAAACTACAGCAACACACTGTAAAACTACAGCGACACTGTAAAACTACAGCGACACTGTAAAACTACAGCGACACTGTAAAACTACAGCAACATTGTAAAACTACAGCAGCACTGTAAAACTACAGCAACACTGTAAAACTACAGCAACACTCTAAAACTACAGCACTGCTGTAAAACTACAGCACCGCACTGTAAAACTACAGCACCGCACTGTAAAACTACAGCAACGCACTGTAAAACTACAGCACCGCACTGTAAAACTACATCAATCACTGTAAAACTACAGCAAAGCACTGTAAAACTACAGCAACATTGTAAAACTACAGCAGCACTGTAAAACTACAGCAACACACTGTAAAACTACAGCAACACTGTAAAACTACAGCAACACTGTAGTTTGTCAATGCATGAAACGTTTGCTGAAAGTTAAGCTAATGGTTTAAAAGACCAAAAGCTTGTGGGTAAAAGAGTTGGGTTAGGGTTAGAAAAGGAGTATTTGCAGATAGTTAATCTGCAAATACTCCTTTAGGATCAAGTTTGTTGTTTAAGTGTAGAAATGTCTCAAAGGATCTGTTAAAATGTTGAAATGAAATCAGCAGCTTATGCTGCTGCTGAAAGGATAGAAAACGGTTTGTCTGTCTGCAGTCCTGCGATGCCTTGGGATCCCATCAAGAGTCGTCACCAACTTCAACTCAGCCCACGACAACACGGGCAACCTGAAGACCGAACTCATCTTCAAGCCAGACGGCACGCCTGACAGACACAAGACCCAGGACTCCATCTGGTTGGTCCAAACGCTCCACATGACGCCGGTTCCATGGAACAAACTAAACCTTATTAGGGTTTTTAAACCGTTTGGGTTGTCAACGACTGCCATGGCCGTCAAGGCGAACCGTTTATGGGCAGCAACAGTCACTGAGTTGGTTTCTGTGCAGGAACTTCCACTGCTGGAACGAGGCATTCATGAAGCGAGTGGATCTTCCACCGAAGTACTCCGGATGGCAGGTGGTGGATGCGACTCCGCAGGAGACCAATGACAGTGAGCAGAACACAAACATCCCAAACCCACAGGAAGCAGCGATTAACCCAACCGTGTCTCACTTTGTTTCAGGATATTTCCGTTGCGGTCCGGCGCCGGTCATTGCCATCAGGGACGGTGAGCTGTGTCACCCCTTCGACTGTCGCTTCGTCTTCGCTGAGGTTAGACTGGAAGGACATTAACCTGATAAACCAGATAAATTAGTCAAGTAATCGCTGACTGTTTGTGCTCTAGGTGAACAGCGACCTGATCCACATGAAGAGTGACAAATATGGCAACATGACTCCATTCAAGGTGGACACGTCTTATGTTGGACAGTTCATTTACACCAAGTCATTGAGCAGCTGGAGACCTGAGGACATCACCAGGACCTATAAGCATCCAGAAGGTCTTCTTACTCAGCTTTATATGTCATGTGATCAAAGATTAGCACAGGAAGGTGACTGGAGAAAATGTGAATCTGCAGGGAGTCTGGCAGATCAGCAGACCATGGCTCTGGCTGAGCAGTACGGATGTTCTAGAGACCGCTCTGACTGGCCTGCGTCCAGCCTGTCCATCCAGATTGCAACTCAAGCGTGAGGAAACCATCAATCCATCCATCATGGAGATAAAACTTTGAGTTGTACGACATCACCAAGGGTAGTGAGACATAATTACTATAGTATGGGAAACTTAAGGGACACACTGGAGCACGGTGGGAAAGAGAGGTAAAATATGGTCATTTTCAGCCAAAACAGGAGACTTAACAGGTATAAACTGGTTCTGGAACCAGCGGGTTTACTCTCAGTCCATCCTGGATGTCTGAGTGTCTGTCTCTATGGGAGAGTCCAGACGCTCTCATTTCAGCCTTTGTATTCATCATCTCGTTCTTTTAGTCTCTACCCAAATCTCAGGACCATAGATGAGGGTCGTCTGCTTTGAGTCAGCATTGAGTACATGCAGACCGAGGAGAGAAGTACGGCCCGGTATGTTGGAGTAACATGAAACTGCTGGGAGTGAGTGAGGTAAAGCCACCATCTACTTAGTGTACCGACCACAGACGGTTGACATTTCATGGTCCAACATACCAAAAAACTACATTTCTCATGACAAATCCCTTTGTTTTCCACAAGGTGAATGGAAGCTAGCTAGTTTGCTGAGCTAGGCGGACACCAAGCTCTGTTTCTTCTTCACTGTGCCTCTTTGTGGCAGTCAGGTGGCTACTTGCCACTTGTTGCACAAACTCTCACGTTTAACATAAAACAGTTCAATGTGAAGGCTGTTTCCTGCCAAGGGTTCTCTGTGTAGCTCCTACTATCTCAAGGTAGTCGTGTCCGGCAGACCTCAACAGACCAAAGTACAACAGAGACCTTAACTCTGTACTGCCACCTCTTCCCTCTCTGTCCAGGGCTACGTGGGGGATCCTCTGAGGGTTTCAGTGACTTTTTACAACCAAAGTGAGACTATAAAATCTGTGAAAGTTTACATGGAGATCAGCTCCACCTACTACACCGGCGTGGTCGCATCAGACCCACTGAAAGTCGAGGACTTCAGGATTGATCTGGACGCCTTCCAGAGTGAGCGGCTTTGGCTTCAGATCCCTGGCCTTAAAGAGGGTTAGGGACATTTTGGATATGTCTGTGTTTTCTGTTGCAGGTAGCATTAAGATGTTTGAGCTTTCGCCTCAGGAGTACGTCTCTCAGCTGGGCTCTAACAGCAACCTGGAGGTCACTGTGACCGGACAAACCGATGATGTGGAGGTGTCAGAGGTCAAGACCATCGCCCTGAAGCTTCCACCGCTGAACATAACAGTAAAACCCAGACTGAACATCCATGAAATCTTCAACAGTCTGAAGATTTCACACTGATTTGTTGCTGTGTGTGTCTGTGTCCAGCTGAGTGGGCGGCCTCAGGTGAATCGTGACATGTACGTCATGGTTTCCTTCACTAACACCTTGGGGTTCCCCCTGACCGACACCAAGCTGGCCATGGAGGGAGCCGGGCTGCTGGAGACTCAGCTCTACAACTACAGGTAACTACAGGTAAACCCGGTTCACCTGCCTCACCTGCAGCTTCCTGTGTTCATATTTAAAACATGTTTCCTCCCAGGACGATTCCTCCTATGGGCCAAATATCCCACAAGGTCGGGTTCAGACCCACGAAGCCCGGACTCCAGACTCTCCTGGTGGTGCTGGACTGCGACAACCTGCCCGATGTAAACACCACAACGGCTCGCTCAAAACCAAACCTCAGAATTAGTTTTACAGTCGAATGAAGTCAAAAAGATTAGCCAGCAGAATCTTCTTTGCTACAACTGAGTATTTAAAAATAAATGTATCAAATAAAATATTAGCCAAAGTTTAAAACAACCAAAGATTATTGGGTTTTGCTAAACTATTAGCAATAAACTGTAGCTAAATTGAAAAGTTACTTATTAAGAATTTATTGGCTAAAATTATTTATTGTCATCATTAACTTAAAAAAGGCAAAGCTAAGTACATAAGAACTTACATTTTTATCAAACTGCAGCTAAAAGTTGATGCACCGCCTTATTATGAAATAGATTTAGCAGCCGGCACGTTAGCTAAACGTTAGCGAAACGTTAGCTAAATGGTTAAAATTGTTCCGATTCTCTCAATTTAGAAAAAAATAAGTATTTAGACAGAAAATAATAAACTTAAACTGTTGGTTAGCAGTTGAAACTACATTAATTTATCTCAAGATTGATCAGTTTACAGCAATAAATGTTAGCTAAGCATTAGCTAAAGTGATTACTGCTTGCTAAGTCATCAGCATTAGCCTACTAAATGTGCAAATGTCAAATAATAACAGTCTAAAGTACTGCAGCTGAAAAGACTTGAAAATACAAGCTAAAAGTTATAAATGTCAAACTAACGTATCTACCAAAAACATAGCAAAGCTAAAGTTTAGGCAAAGTTTGTTTTTATGAGGCTAAACTTGACACTGAATTTGGTAAATCCAACAATGTTTCTCAAAAGTCTTAAATATTTGCTTCAACCTGAGGAAACTGCTGAGATCTGATGAAGTTTTAGCTACGAAAACAAAACATTTTATTTCTGCTAAATGTCTTGAGAAAAAACTTCTCTATATATTCGAGATTTTACCTTAAATTTGACATTAAATTCAACAATCTGAGGAAACAGATTGTTGTACCATTAGCATCTTGATGATAATTGTCTGTTTCTTTTAGATGATGGCAATGGTGGAAGTCAAGGTCATGCCGTAACCTTTGGCCTTTCGTCCAGTGAGAAGAAACAACAAATTCTACAAATTACATCCATCATTGATCATTTTTCTGTGGTGAAATCATCGGAAATTATTCTTAAAATCAACAAAATGCATAAATCAAACTTCAGATTGAGGATCAGTGTTTCCAACATGTTCAGATAATTGATTGGTTATAATCGCTCTCTGAAGATGCAAAAACATAAATCTGAAAGATTAACGTAGCAGTTAAATAAAAGAAGCTTCAGGTGGAAAATTGTGTAAATTCTAAATGAAATTTGAATAAATTCTGGATGGAGATTTCAGAATAAGATACAAGTTGGACAGATTCTGAAATTAATTAAGAATGAAGATATTTTTAATTTGCAGGACCAGAAATTAAAAGTTTGAAAAGTTTGTTTTATTGTAAAGAAACACAAAATGTCTTCATAAACATCCTCTTCTTTGTCTCCACATTAAGACAATTTAGATGCACTTAAATTTTACCAGCTAAAAGTGTCACTAAAAAAACACAAAAGGTAAGTTGGGACAAAGTGGTTAATTTTGATTAGTGACTTTATGTTACAACAGCAAAAAGGTTTTCAGTTTTCATTAATTTAATATCAGTGTGGTTCATCTATAAAACTCGACTGTTCTGTGATTTTATCTTTAGCTCATTTAATGACAGTTAAAATTAACAGAATTAAAGTTCTTATTTTGTCTTTAATTTCAGAGAAAATTTGACTAACGCAGCTAATTTCTAACTAATTACTGATTTATTTTGGGCCTGTATCAAACTTTTAGACGAAATTTGTTCCTTTATGGAAACTGAACCAGTTTTACGATCTTTGACCAAATCAAGTGTGATTTTATCCTTTTGATTCTGTGTACTAAGAAATAAAGCATTTCAAACGCACTGCATGTCTCACTGATCTTTACAAGGAACTATTTTAAACCTCAGAGAATTGAGTTACTGCAAAGGCTCTGCAACAATCTTTAAAAGCTATACTTGTCTTCAGAACAGCTAAATAAAACTTTTTTAGTGCAACAAATGTTACATGACCTTAAAAAGACAACTTGAAAGTCTTCAGGACATTTATTGAAACCCATTTTATTTTTGTTTTAAGATTTTATATGAAGAAAAATATTAAACTTTTGCACAAAAACCAGAATGTTGAATATGCAAAATGAAAAGAAACAACATGATTTACAATTTAATGACAAGGAAATAGATCTGGACCAACATCAGTGACATTTCAATTCATTTTGTGGTGGAAAATCAGTTTATTACATAAAAACAACCAAACTAAACCAGCTGAGTCTTTATCTCAACCTCCAGTAGGTGACCTTTGACCTGTTTCTGCTGGTGTTTGTTGAAGTATGGCGGCGGATCAGGGCGCTGCAGTGACGTCATCCGGCCGCTAGAGGGAAGCAGCGCTCTTCCTCCCAGTCACTCCAGTCCGCTGAACTCCAGACCGACTGGTTTCTCCTGATCATCAGCAGCTTCTGCTTCTTTCCATCCGAGCAGCCATCTTGACTGCAGTCTGGACCTGCTGGTCCAGAACCGAACTTTGATGTTAAACTCAAAACAACCGAACCAAGCCGAACCAACACGAACCAAGCCGAACCAACACGAACCTCGGTGTTTCTGTCAGTCTGCCCCCCTCCCCTCCCCCCTCAGCCACAGGTGAGTCGACGTCATAGCAACGGTATCTGACGCATCAGCGTCACCAAAACACACGCGGGGTTTTTTCAGGAGCTGCGAGGACCGGAGCGGGAACCTCTACGGTAACCCAGAGGTGTCAAAACTGTCGCCCATTAGTGCCAAAATTATCTAAAAATTGTCATATTAAAACAGAAAAAAACAACATTGACAAGTTTTTAATAAAGCACAGCAGTCAGATTTTTGTAATAGTGGAATTACAAAAATTCTACTATTAAACCATGATGGATTTAATACAATCAACTTAATACAATCAACTTAATACAATCAACTTAATACAATCAACTTAATACAATCAACTTAATACAATCAACTTAATACAATCGGTTTAATGCAACCGCGATGGATCATGGTTGCATTAAATGACAGGTTTAGGTTTTTTAGGAATTGGGGTCATTGTCCTTGTTTGGAAACTAAAGTCTGGCAACTTTTGTTTTCTGTCAAAGTAAATGAAAACAGAAATGTTGTAAATAAATACTGAAGATTTGCGACCTGAGGGTCAAACAGATTCATCCAGAGGCCACATGTGAGAGCTCTGCTGTTAGCACAACACAACCAAACCCTCCTGTTCTGTCTTTCTTCCTCTCTGTCCATCTGTCTGTCTCTGATCTGAGGATGTAGGAAGACCCATCCGGTTCCGTCCAGCAGGGGGCGATGAGCCGAGCCGTAAGAACCACAAAGTTTCAGCTCAAACCAGAACAAGGAGGCCGATGATGCAGGTGAAGCTCTACAGGTGATGCAGCAGCAAAAAGTGATTCATGTTCCTCTTGTTGCTGCAGTTCTGACATGTTTCCAGGCTGTTTGTGCTGCAGCTTTAACCAGGGGTTTAGTGCTGCAGTTTGAGCATGTTTTCTGTTTTTGTGCTGCGGTTTTAACCTGTTTCCAGGTTTTTGTGCTGCAGCTGTAATCTGGAGCTTGTGCCTCAGCAGGTGTGGGTCTGTGCGGCCCGGTTGCTGGTCCCGATCCGGTTCTCTGGCTCGCCGCTCTCAGGCTGCAAGGCAAACAACTGTTACCTACAAATCATCCGTCTCTATTGGAAACCGGTTTTTCTCCCCGCCTGCTGCTCCCTCATGCATCCTCCCTCCCCCTCCTCGTCTCTCTGCAGAACACGTCTGGTTGCAGTTTGCTGCGGCTGTGTTGTGCTGCGCTGGAGGACGCCGGGCCGAACCGGGCCGGGTTGGTTGGGTCGGTCAGTAGAACATGTGTTGCTGTTGCTGGCCTGCAGCAGCGGGAGCAGCATGTGCTCTTCATCCCCCACACCGCCGACAGGTGTTGGCTTCATGTGACTGCCTGCCTGTCCGGACAGCGCTCCAATGGAGGAGGAGGAGGAGGAGGAGGAGGAGGGAGGGGGGGGGAGGAGGAGGAGGAGGAGGAGGAGGAGGAGGGAGGGGGGGAGGAAGAGGAAGAGGGGGAGGAGGAGGAGGGAGGGGGGAGGAGGAGGAGGAGGAGGAGGAGGAGGAGGAGGAGGGAGGAGGGAGGGGGGAGGAGGGGGGAGGGAGGAGGAGGAGGAGGAGGAGGAGGAGGAGGAGGAGGAGGAGGAGGAGGAGGAGGAAGAGGCGGGGTGTGTAAAGTTTCATCAACAACTGTGTCAACTCTGCAGCCTCTGGGTTGGGAAAGCAGCAGCTCAGGATACCTCTCCTCTTCCTCCTCTTCCTCCTCTTCCTCCTCTTCCTCCTCTTCCTCCTCCTCTTTAACTCCTCTGGATGAATGGATGAATGGATGAATGGATGAATCCACCCTTTTGTGTGCGATGGGTTGTTCCTGGGCAACAGCTCCATGGTTACAGTCCAATAAATAACATCACACTCGCTCCTCTGCCTCTGGATCTCAGGATGCGAAGGAAAAGTTTCTTGGCTTTTGTTTCCCGAAACTGAAGCAGATTCAGAATCCCAGACTGAGCGTCTGATCGGCGTTTCTGTTTGGTGAGTGTGTGAACGCACGCAGAGCTGCAGCGGAGAGCTGAAAACATGCAAAGCGGCTCATTAGAAAACCCAAATGAGCTGCGGCAGAGGAACAGGTTTGGAGTGGGACGCGCCGAAAGAGAAGATCTTTGTTTTTTTGCTGCTTTTTGTTTCGTTTGTTTACTTTATGAAAATATAAAGAGGAGTTCTGCTGACATGACAACCAGATGTGAAACAGAATCTGAAAAGTCTTTTCATATAGATTTCCAGTCAGCTCCAGGCCTGGACTTTGACTAGACCATTCTAACCTTTAACTTTGACCTCTGGTCTTCATGTTTAGGGTCAGTTTCCTCAATCTCAGATTTAACCTGAGATTCTTCTCTGTTGACCTGAGAAGCCAGGGATGTCCAAAGTGTGGCCCAGGGGCCATATGGGGACGTCTGGATGACTTTGTCTGGCCCTCCAGTTGAACTCATCCCTTCAGCTCTGGGTGAGATTTTTACAAATAAAATCTTCTTGAATATATTTTTTAGATATGAAACAAAGTGTTTTCCTTTAGTAACAGTGTTTCTGTTTTTACATTTGCTAAGAACAGGCAGCGCCGCGCGACTGATGTAGCCAAACAGAAAAAAGAGACACGAACAGATTTACAGATTCATTTTCTACAAAGATTAGATTATTAAATATCATCAGTTTCATATGTTACAAAGATAACAAATGTACCACAGCTGAATGTAAATATCTGGTTTCTCCTGAAACACATTCAGAGTGTGAAGTGAACTGAGTCTTTTGTGAGTGAACTGAGTCCTTTGTGAGTGAACTGAGTCGTTTCCTGTCAGCCTGTTGAGGATCCACAGTGGATCATCGTCAGGAGGAGCGGCCATTAATCTGAATGGGGAAGTAAAAGGCTGTGATTGGATTAGTGACGTAACCATGTTATCTGTCTGCCTGTGTGTGTGTGTGTGTGTGTGTGTGTGTGTGTGTGTGTGTGTGTGTGTGTGTGTGTGTGTGTGTGTGTGTGTGCTTATTTAGAACTGTTTCACTGACATTTGAGGTAAAATTGAAACAATCTGTGTCAGCTATAATGCTGTTTATTGGGCCAATTTTCAGTTTTTATGCATTTAATCAACATGACAAAGAAAATTTTACCTTTTTTTTTATTGAACTTGTTGATTATTTTCATAACCCAGCGAAATAAGATGGGATGATTTGGCGACAGTCAAACCAACACAAAATGAAATCCCATTTATCATGTTTGTTTTTACATCAGCTAGCTTAAGCTGCTACAGGAAGTTGTAAAAGTGGTAGCATCATGACTAGCATTAGCCTCAGAAAGCTAACTAAGAGCAAACTGGTGGCTGTTTTACCTTCCAGGTAGTAAAATTCATCATGTTAACATCAGTTTGTGAATTTTTGACTCAAACTGAGACTTTTTGTTCGGTTCATTCTGAGCTTCTGACTCATTTTAACGTCAACATGTTGAGTTTCCATAAGTTATTTAATATGGATTATGTGACTAAAAGGAACAAAACCCCAGACATTAAAATGTTTCTGATGCTTCAAGTGAACAAATGATGGAGCGGATGAAGCAGGTTACAAACTGGGATCAGAGTTCATGCTTTAATAAACTCTTGTTGTTCCAGCAGGTCGAACCAAAACATCTGTGGGTCAAACTGAAAGAAGCAGCAGCAGCAGCCGTGACTCAGACGTCTTGGTTCTGGTTAAATCTCCCCTCAGATCCGGTTTCCTCCCGGGGAACCGAGTTCCTCAAAAGCTCCGAGTCCCACAGGAAGCATCGCTGCCGCGCCGGCCTGTCCGGAGCAGGAACGCTGCAGGATGCCCGCTCTGATGCCCGCTCTGATGCCCGCTCTGATGCCCGCTCTGATGCCACACGCTGCACGGCAGGAAAACCTCAGGCCAAACCTGGAATCATCTCAACTGAACAGCAGCAGAGAGGAGGAAGTGAAAACAAGAACTGCCTTCATCTTGACTTTATCAGAACTCAGTAAAAGTGTCAGAGAGCCGCTGCGTTCTGGTGGTTCGGTGTGAAAGCGGCGCTGCTGCTGCAGGGAGACAAACAGGAGCAGCTCAAAATGTCTGACAGAGCTGGAAACACCCAGATCCTTCATCAGCAGCAGGCCGAACCAGCCCGAGACAGGCGGAGAGGCTCTTCCTGCTCGGCTGCAGCCGCCCGCAGGGGAGGAGGGGTGTGATGGGAGGAGAGCTGCCTGCGCTCCCTCCAGCAGGGGATGATGGGAGGAGAGGAGGAGGGGTCTGTATCTGGAGATGGAGGGCTGTCAGGAATGTGGAAGAGCAAGCAGACATGCAGCGAGCGAGGAGCCGAGCCGCTCGCACTAAATTTAACAATGAGAGTCGGCAGGACGTTTAAATTTAGTCTGCAGCTTCACCGAGTCGGAGCGGCTGCTGCTGCTCACCCGGCAGAAACATCCTCATCCTGCGGTGGTCCGAACGGGTCAGGTTCTCCTTCCACAAACCACCGAGGAGCCCAGATCCTCTGGGCCTGCTGAACAAAGGAAACCTTTCTGAGCTTTACGGTCAACAGTTCTTTCATGATGTGGTGAAGAAATGAAGCAAACTTCATCCAAAGCGGGTGGAGAAAACACAAAAAGCCAGAAAACAAGAAGCAGAAATGATCTGAAATCCTGAGAACTGAACCGAATCTAGAGATCCAAACTCTGCAGAAACGTTTTCAGGGCAAGAATCAGGAAGTTATCATCACAGTTTGGATGTTTTCTGTTTCATCCACTTTATTTTAGCCATAAAAAGATGTGCAGATACAAAGACTGAACAAACAAATGAGAGGAAAATCTGAAGAAAGGACAAAATAAAAGAAAGAGATGAGGATAAAAATGTGAATAAACTGACTTTATTCTCATCCAAAAAACAAATTCAGCCTCAGTTTGTTAGAAAACATCAGAATCATTTAGAGAAAGAAAGAAAAGAACAAACTAGAGATAAAATCCTGGATTACACTGTATGCAGATGATACAGTGATCTACACTGAGATTAGAGGATGGATGGATGGATGGATGGATGGATGGATGGATGGATGGATGGATGGATGGATGGATGGATGGATGGATGGATGGATGGATGGATGGATGGATGGATGGATGGATGGATGGATGGATTAGAGTCTAAGTGATGTGATTTCTCTTTAAATTTGTGTTTTTATGGTCAATATTTCCCTTTTGGTTTTACTTCCTCAGTTAAATTGAACTTCTTGATTTTCCATCCAGAGTTCAAACGCAGCAGAAACATCTAGACGACACAAATTCAGATTATTATTCAACATTCAGAGAGCAGCAGTAAATTAGTCCACCTTATTCAACATTGAATTTGTTTGAAATTACTTTGATTTTTACAGAAGTTAGATGTGAAAATCTAACTTCTGTGGAAACTTCATTTCCACAGGTAGCGTTGATCTCAAAGTTCACCTGCAGCAGTTTAATCTTCATTTCTATAGACTGAAGTTTTAGATGAGTTTTAAATGTAAAGTTTATTTTGCTGTTCAGATCAGAAACATGAAGCAGATCTGGAGCTGGACGAACCTTTTTCCTGCTGGACGTTAAAATCCTGCAGTTTTTCCTTTGTGTGGAAACTGGAGCCAAATTCTGGAGACGGCAGCGTCCAGAATCCTGCCGCAAGACGTGGACTGAGACCCCGAGGCTGCTGCATCACCCCACAGGCTGCTGCATCACCCCCCAAGCTGCTGCATCACCCCACAGGCTGCTGCATCACCCCGCAGGCTGCTGCATCACCCCCCAGGCTGCTGCATCACCCCACAGGCTGCTGCATCACCCCGCAGGCTGCTGCATCACCCCACAGGCTGCTGCATCACCCCCTGACCCCCAGGCTGCTGCATCACCCCCTGACCCCCAGGCTGCTGCATCACCCCACCGCAGGCTGCTGCATCACCCCGGCTGCTGCATCACCCCGCAGGCTGCTGCATCACCCCGCAGGCTGCTGCATCACCCCCCAGGCTGCTGCATCACCCCCTGACCCCCAGGCTGCTGCATCACCCCCTGACCCCAGGCTGCTGCATCACCCCACAGGCTGCTGCATCACCCCCTGACCCCAGGCTGCTGCATCACCCCACAGGCTGCTGCATCACCCCACAGGCTGCTGCATCACCCCACAGGCTGCTGCATCATCCCCAGGCTGCTGCATCACCCCCTGACCCCCAGGCTGCTGCATCATCCCGCAGGCTGCTGCATCACCCCACAGGCTGCTGCATCACCCCACAGGCTGCTGCATCACCGCCTGACCCCCAGGCTGCGGCTCCTTATCAGCGCTCCACTCAGTAGCTGCAGCCACTCTGAAGTGTGGCTGGGAGGGTTTCTTATCTCTAAACGCCTCCATGGTGAAATAAAGGCTTGTTCTTGGTTTCATTGTCAATATTGCCTTTGCTGAAAGTGAAAACTGTCAGTTTCATTTGCAGCTGGGTTAAATATTACATTTCAGAGCAACTTTTCAAATTAAAGGTAGTTAAAGATGATTTACTTAACATTTAGTGCCGATTTACAAAGTTTCATAAAGACTTGTTGGAATATTTTGCAGTTACAATATAAAATATTCCAATAAAACTGTTAAATAAACAGTTTTAATATGAACAGATTAAACAGAACCAAGCTGCTGCTGCTGGTTTGGTACCAGTAGGAACTGATCCAGAAACCAGTGGATCCACTAAGAGGGGACCAGTTGGACCAGCCCCTTTACTTTACATGACCAGACATCCTGACATGGAGGCTGGCTTCAGATGCCAGAAAACTGAATTAGAAAATAAAATATGTAGATCTGAATGAAGAAAAAAGTAAACAGCAGTTAAATTTAGTTTCATTAGTTTATGTTTCACATACACAGAGAAAGAAGAATAAAAAATAAATACATCATCAGTAATTTATTAGTGAATTATTTTTTCAAACCTACAAAATACTTTAATGACACATTGTGCATTATTCCTAAATAAACAAGGTGCAAAATATAACTTGAGAGGAATTAAAACAAAATAAAATCAAATAAATTTAATGGATTAAATCCGGCCAGTCATGTCAAAACTAGTGTGCATCTTAACTACAAACAACCAATCAGACCCAGGAGGCGGGACTTAGCGCTGCCAATCACAATTTCTTTTTCCATCAGCAGATTCTGTTGTGAATGCTAAGGCTAGTTAGCATCGCCACCAACGACGGTGGATAAACGGTTTTCCTGGAACGGTGAGTTGTCTCTTCGCCATTAGCACATTTAGCAGCGAGTTCATGAGATTAAGTGAGAGCGCTAAGCTCCTCCCCCTGCCTGTGATTGGTTGTTTTATCTGGAGCGTTGCATTTCGTCAGACAGCAACAGCAGCTCAGGCATCAATCTTTCATAACATTTTGTTATTCAAATACATACAAAAAAAAAACATATTTGTTTAAACATATGTGTGAAAAACATTTTTTCATAAAAATTAAACGCTGCAGCTTTTTAAAAAAGAAATATGAAAACTTAAATAAAGTGTTGATGAGTTGTAGAATGCATTTTATTTATTCATTCATCCTTATGGCAACAGGACAACCAAATATGTTCATTTAAACCCATAAAGTTTGTTTTGGTGCTTCATGGCCCCCATCTGCCCCCCTCCCTGCCCGCGGTGCAAACTTCCTGGACGCGCCCCTGGCAGCAACGTGTGTCCGTGCGTAAAGGCAGAGATGCTTGGTGGCCACGTCCCCTTGGAGACGGAGATAACACGTGATGAGCTTTACTGATCAGGTTCAGAGGCAGAGAGACACCGAGACACGGCGAGAGACAGGCCGGGGCACGGAGCCTGGAGCCCGGCCACCACTTCAGCCAACCTCCGCAGCGCAGCGCAGCGCGCGCGCGCGGCGCAGCGGCGGTTACTCTGCTACAGTTACTGAGTGGCCTTGTTTGTTTCCTCAGAGGAGGAGGAGGAGGAGAGGAGGAAGAGAAGCAGCGCAGCAGCACCAGGAGGAGGAGAGAGGAGGAGGAGGAGGAGGAGGAGGAGGAGGAGGAGAAGCCGGAGTAAAGTTTGTCCAAGTTTGCACATCCATTCGGAGAAACGCCATTTTGAGTCCTCTCCTCTTCGGAGCGACTTTGCAGCTTCTTCCTCCCTTTTTTTTTTTTTTTTTTTAACTTCATCCCCCCCTCATCATCATCATCATCCTCCTCCTCGCCACGATGTCTCGGCGCAAGCAGCCCAACCCCAGCAAAGTCCGCGGTAAGTCAGCGTTTTTCCGCCGCTAGCCGCCGCGTCTCTCAGCAACAAGTTAAACTGCCACCAAAGTTAGCCCCGCTGCGTGGACGCGCTTTCCACGGGGGGATGTTTTTTCGCTCTCCTCTCCGTGTTGCTTCCTAGTTTGATGCGCATCCAAGCGGAGGAATTTCAGCTCCTCTTCCGCCTCTTCCTCATTCACTCTGCGGCTAATTATCACCCGCAGCTTCATGTTTTCTCCTTCTTTAGCGCAACTTTTAGCAGCCGTTTGCACTTTTTCTGGCTGTTATTCGGCGGTTATTTTCCGCCGTGGGGGTTGGGGGGGCAGCAGAGAGAGAGAGACACGGCGGGGAAGTGGGTGGGAAGAGGGGGGGTCAAAGTCTGCTCAGCCGGAGGCAAGCATCCATATCTGGGTGCACTTTGGTCGGAGCCTCGCTGCTAGTTACCATGTGTAGCGCTATCAGTCCAGACGGTAAGAGCTGCAAGCTAGCGGTAAGCTAGGGCTGCTTCTTCCGGTCTGCCTGTCACAATAAAACACCTGTTGAACATTTCGCTTACAGACGCCATTCTGTACAATCCGACATAAAAGCAGCTTTAATGACCTAAAAGCTGTTATTTCTAATGGTTTATTCAAACCAATAGCTAATTAGTGAGCTATTAGTTAACGTGTTGCTACGTAGGTTACATCACTGAAAACACGTCACTGTCAGCTTGTTGTGCTAATACTGTTAGCGGGTCAGGCCATGACCCCTCCGGGCTGCCGTAGATTTCAGATGTTTTGGTGAAGAAGTCCATATAAACTGGTTATTACTGCCACTGTGAAGCTGCAACCTCATTGGGGTGAAAAGTTATGTTGTGGAAAAGAAAAATTATATCGCTGATGAATTATTTACAACCTGTTAGAGAAGGTAAATAATTGTGTGTATGAATGTGGCGGCCATATTAGATGTTGTGTTGTGGGATGTTTTTCTTAAGTAAATGTTTTCACTTTAGCTTAATCTGTGAGGATTTCAAAGATTAGTATATATATATATATATATATATATATATATATATATATATATATATATATATATATATATATATGTGTGTGTGTGTATATATATATATGTGTGTGTGTGTGTGTGGAAATGTCTGTGTAATTGTTGATACTGAGTTGTTTTCGATGCTTTTGAACGTTTGCTTGCTTTATTTTGAAGGTCCTCTTCCTCGTTTCCTGCTTTTGTCCGCGCTGCGTGCGTCTAGCTTTGAGCTCCAACACGGTGACCTTGCCCAGACTCGTTCAGCCCCGAATCGGGTCCGGTTCATTTAGAAACCGACCCGACGCGGCCGAGGCTCGGTCGGGGAGTCCCTGCCGCTCGGTTTGCGGCAGTTTTTGCGGCAGTTTGTCGACTTTTCTCCGTCTTTCTGACACTTTTTCCAGCGCCTCCCTAGCAGCAGCATCGACGTGACGCCTGTTGCTGCATCCTCCTCCTCCTCCTCTTCCTCTCCAGTCCCCGTTTTCTGTCTCCCTCCGCTGCAACTTTAATTAAAACATTAAATCAGATTTATTTTCGCACCGTCAGCTCTGTTCGGCCCCACACCGGGTCTCGGTGAAGTCCCCCGGCTCAGTTAGCTGTTAGCGGGAGGATGCTGCTGCTGTGGCCGCTGCAGAAGCTCCAGACCTCGGCCTGAACTGGGCCAAAGAGCCCCTTATCACCCAGCCGGTCAATGATTGACGGCCTGGGTTTGGTTTGGATCTCAGGACCGGACCGGTTAGGTAATGGTTCAACCTGAGGAGCTTTAAGGTCACTTTTAAACATCCAACTGAAACTCATAAAAGTTTGA